CCTTGATTGGTTTTGACTGCTCAATAGCCCTTTTACTCACTTTCTTTACAAGAGATTTCTTCGTTGATTTCTGAACCCCCTTTGATTTGACCCTCTCAACCTATACTTCATTCCTTCTTTTTTCCATATACACATTAGCATCATAAGACTTTGTATTAATGGACCCAACAGGCAAAGGGGTTGAGGTGGGTTCTTCAGGAAGATGGCCTTCCCTTCTTCTCTTCCTAGCCTGTTTGAATTATATTTGCTTCTATGGCACTTCACATAACCTTCTGCATCTCACTCCTGGTGCCATACCTATTCTTGTCCCCCTTTGTGTAGGACGTAACCATTTTTCCCTACCCCTTTCTTTTCCTTTCTTTTGCAGACTCAGCAGGCTTATTGTTGAAGTTGGTGTCAGGAATAGTGTTGACTAACCTCTAGATCTGGGACACCTGCTGTCGAGAAGTTTGCACCGCAAAGCCCTTTCCTGCTCCATTTCAAAGAAACTTCTTCTTCCTCCTCTTCTTCACTTGCAACGTCAAATGACTTAGTAGTTTTGTCAAACACAGGTTGAACACTGTGTGGGACCTACTCCGGCGACCTCAACTATTGTTCCAACAGAGTTGGTTGAGCATCTCCTCTAAGCGAAGCCAAACTTTGCACAGCCACTAATTCTGCTGATGCTGCTAGAATATTTGACTCAGAGCCCTTTCCCTCAGGTAAATCTCCATCAAAAAATCGCACAGACATCGTAGATGATACTGCCCTAGAAACCACTTCTAATTCTTCAGTGGGAAGATCACCACTTGGTTTCACAACTGATTGGGCCTCTGAGTTTAGGGATTTTTCACTGCACAAATCCAACATAGGCGAGCAAGGTAAAACTTCCCCAGATGGAGGTGCAGGAGAAGTCACCACTTCAGTATGATGTGTGATGGATTCACCCATCTTACCAGCACAACAGACTGGTGTGGAAGGAGACTCTTCAGGGAGAAGAATGGAGAAATTTAATGAACTGGGGTTTTCAATTTCTTGGGAGATGGGAAGCTTTGAAGATGAAGAAGAGTTAGTCATTTTGATGAAAAGAAAAAGACGATTTAGAACAACGTAGTGAATCACAAAAGGAGATTAAGAAGAGATTAGGATGTTTGGATTCACTAAAAACAGTTTTATTTAAGCACAAGGGGTATCGGGTCCCTGAAAAACAGCGACTCTTGGATTTAAAGTGAAATTATGTGTTATAAAAGTGATATTTATCACTTACTAGATACAGCCAAAGTCAAAGGTTGGCTGCCCAAAAGTAAAAGTTGTGCTGCCCAAAAGTATACATATATACCAATATGTATATACCTCACATCCCTTTAAAGTTATAGATAATTCCAACTAGAATATTATGCAAATACCCCAATACAATCCATTAAATTACGATCACAATTTATATTAAGCAAGTTTGCAAATATCACAACATTTCAAGTTCCCAAAATGAGAGTAAAACATACTATAGTAGTTAAGCAATGGTGTATCGACAAGCGACTCTTGGTTAACTTTTCGGGTGTTACAACTCTCTCCCTTTTATAGAAATTTCGTCTCAAAATTTACCTTACGCTAGTCCCGGAACAAGTGCGGATACTGGGTCCTCATGTCTTCTTCTCTCTCCAGGTAGCTTCTTTTCCAGAATGGTTCCTCCATAGTACCTTTACTAAGTGGATTCTCTTGTTTCTAAGTTGCTTTACTTCTCGAGCTTCAATTTGGATAGGTTCTTCATTATAAGTCAAGTCAGGATTAAACTCAATAAATTCAACTGGCAAAACATGCGATGGATCAGAACGATATCTTTTGAGCATAGAAACATGAAAGACATTGTGGATCTTGTCTAGCTCCGGTGGCAAAGCTAATTTAAATGCGACTTGTCCAACCCTTTCAAGTATCTCATAAGGTCCAATAAATCGGGGACTAAGTTTTCCTTTTTGGCCAAATCTCATAATCTTTTTCCATGGAGACACCTTTAAGAATACTTTATCTCCAACTTGATATTCAATGTCACGCCTTCTAAGATCAGCGTACGACTTTTGTCTATCCGAAGAAATTTTTAGACGTTCTTTGATAATTTTTACCTTGTCCTCTGTTTGATGCATAATTTCAGGACCAACAAGCTTTCTTTCACCAACTTCACTCCAACAAAGAGGGGTCCGACAATTCCTTCCGTATAAGGCTTCGTAGGGAGGCATTCCAATACTCCATTGGTAACTGTTATTGTAAGCAAATTCTATCAAAGCCAAGTGTTTGTCCCAACTACCCTCAAACTCCATAATCTAAGCTTGAAGCATATCCTCCAAAATTTGAATCACTCTTTTCGACTAGTCGTCTGTCTGAGGATGGAACGAAGTGCTAAATTTCAACTTAGTACCCAAAGCTTCCTGCAAGCTGCCCCAAAATCTAGATGTAAACCTTGGGTCTCGATTAGATACAATAGACATAGGTATCCCATGTAGTCTTACAATCTCATTGATGTACAATTTGGCTAAACGCTCAAGTGAATAATCCATCCTGATTGCTAAGAAGTGAGCACTCTTGGTTAGCTTGTCCACAATCACTCATACTGCATCATGATTCCTTTGAGTGCGAGGAAGTCCATAAACAAAGTCCGTAGTTATTCTCTCCTATTTCCATTCTGGCATCGACAAGGGTTGTAGTAAGCCAATTGGGACTTGATGCTCCGCCTTTACTTGTTGACAAACCAAACATTTGGAAATGAACTCCGCAATGTCTCTCTTCATACCATTCCACCAATAATGTACTTTGATTGTTTGGTACATCTTTGTACCTCCAGGATGCATTGCATATGGTGAAGTATGTGCTTCATTTAATATTTCTCTCCCCAATTTGTCATCACAAGGGACACATAACCTGTTTTGATAAAATAAGCCACCATCCTTCGTTACTGTAAAATCAAGCTTTTCCGCATTTTGAACTTCTCTGGTCAATTTTACAAGTTTCTCATCTAACTTTTGTGCTTCTTTCACCTGTTCAAGTAATATTGGCTTTACTTGCAAATTAGCAATAATTGAACCATTTGAATCAAGTGTAAAAGAAACATTCATGGCTCTTAACTCAAGGAGCAGGGGCAAAGGACTCAAAAAAATGCTCGTGGAGGATTTTCGACTTAAGGCATCTACAACCACATTAGCTTTACCTGGATGATAATCAATCGTGCAGTCATAATCCTTGATGAGTTCAAGCTATTATGTTTTCTTAGGTTTAGCTCCTTCTGAGTACCCAAGTACTTTAATCTCTTATGATCAGTGAATATATGACATTTCTCTCCATACAAATAATGCCGCCATATTTTTAAAGCAAACATTATAGCAACAAGCTCAAGATCATGAGTAGGATAATTCAATTCATGCGGTTTTAATTTCCGAGAGGCATAAGAAATTACCTTCCCTCCTTGCATCAAAACGCATCCTAGACCATTGTGAGAAAAATCATTGTATACTACATACTCTTTCCCTTCAATTGGTAGAGTAAGTATAGGCGCTTGAGTCAACAAGGATTTGAGAGTTGCAAAGCTCTCTTGGCATTTGTCATCCCAAATAAACTTTACTTCCTTCTGTAAGAGCTTAGTCAAAGGGGAGGCGATATGGAAAAGCCTTTCACAAATCTTCTGTGGTATCCTGCTAAGCCCAAGAAACTTCTTACCTCAGTTTGACTTTTGGGAGGTCTCCATTCAACAACTGCTTGTATCTTACTAGGATCCACCTTCACGCCTTCGGTTGAAACAACATGTCCCAGAAAAGCTACTTCATCAAGCCAAAATTCACACTTTGAAAGTTTACCATAAAGTTCTTTCTCCTTCAAAATTTTCAAAACAATCTGAAGGTGTTTATCATGGTCTTCACTACTTCTGGAAAATATTAAAATATCATCTGTAAAGACAACTACAAACTGATCAAGATAAGGCTTGAATACTTGATTCATTAGATCCATGAATACCGCAGGAGCATTTGTCAATTTGAATGGCATCACCAAAAATTCATAATGACCATACCGAATTCTAAAAGCAGTTTTAGGGACATCTTTCTCTCTAACACGCAATTGGTGATATCCAGACCTTAAATCAATCTTTGAGAATACTTTAGCACCCTTCAGTTGGTCAAACAAATCATCGATCCTTGGTAGTGGATATTTATTCTTGATTGTTATTCGGTTCAATTGTCTATAGTCAATACAAAGCCTGAGAGTGCCATATTTCTTCTTTATAAATAAAACAGGGGCTCCCTAAGGAGAAACACTAGGTCAAATAAAACTTTTCTCAAGAAGTTCTTGCAATTGAGATTTCAATTCTCTTAATTATGCTGGAGCCATTCTATAAGGAGTGATAGAAATAGGGGTAGATCTAGGAATAAGCTCGATTGGAAATTCAATCGCTCTTTCCGGGGACAACCTAGGAAGATTTTTGGGGAAGACTTCTGGGAAATCACATATAGTAGGTATGTCCTTGATACAAGGACTCTTAAATTGTGTACCAACTATGTGAGCAAGGTATGCCCCACAACCTTGATGCATCAACTTTCTTGCCAAGGCCGCAGAAATAATACTAGATGTCAATGATCTTTCACCTTGTACAATGATGTGTGAAAACGTAGGATCTTTAAAAGTCACATGCTTAGACCTACAATCTACCACTGCATGATATTTATAAAGCCAATCCATCCCGATAATAACATCAAAATCCTTGAAGGGCATTTCAATCAAATCAGTAGGGAAGACTAGGTTTTGAATCCGAAGGGACAATCTTCGTAAACTCGATTACACACAACTTGATAACCCAAAGGACTTTCAACCAGCACATCATAACTAAGTCTCATAGATTTCACGTTTTCAGGAAGAACAAGTGATGAACAAAGATAGGAATGTGTAGAACCAGGATCAAATAGTGTAAACACACATAAGCCAAATAAGTAAAATTTACCGACAACCACGTCTTGTCCATCTTGATCATCCCTCTGCCTCATAACTTAAGTGCGTGCAATAGCCCTTGGTCCACTAGCTTTATTAGCTCCACTTGCACCTGTTGCTTGGGTGTTTTTAGGTCTTGCACCTCTATTAGTTTGAGGAGGATTAATAGAAGGCTTATGAACTGAGCCTTCAGTTCTCAAGGAAGGAGCATTATTAAGATTAGGACAATCCTTCACTTTATGATCAAAGCTCCCACAATTGAAACATGCACCAGAAGCTCTCTTGCAAGTACCATAATGATTATTTCCACATTGTGGGAAAGTGGGAACGCGAGGCTTTCTTTGGCCATAATTTGGAGTGCTAGTTGTAGAAAATTCTGATTTGTTTTGCCTTTGTTGAGGTGGCCTGTTATCACTACCATCCTTGGAATCATCAAATCTTCCCCTTTTGGATAGGCCTCCAAAATTTGGTCTAGGCTTTCAGAATTTGTTTTCATTTCTACTAGCTTCTTCTTTATCAAGTCGTTCCTAAGTAAAAGCAGCAGACACTAACTTACAAAAGTTCTCATGTTGCAGGATCGCCACATTCTTCCTAATGGAATCATTTAAACCATCTTCAAATTTCTTGCACTTGTCTTTTTCCTCTTTAATAATACCTCCAGCATAACGAGAGAGCCTTAGAAACTTATGTTGGTACTCAACAATAGACATGCCTCGTTGCCTTAGATTCAAAAACTCTTTTTTCTTTGCATCACAATAAGCAGATGGGACATACTTCATAGGAAATTCCTTAAGAAAATTATCCCAAGTAAGAATAGGAGGTTTTACCTTGGCATTCGGAACACTTACCCACCAATCATAAGCATCATTTTGTAATAGTGAAATAGAATACTTAAATTTGGCAACATCTGAACACTCAAGCTGCTCAAATACCCTCTTCATGCGCTCCAGCCATTGTTCAACATCCGTGGGATCAACAGTACCTTCAAACTCCACTCCACCCATTTTCCTCATTTTCTCAAAGTTAATCCTGTTGGAATCATGCATCGATTCAACCATGTGGTGGAAGAATTCAGCCATTTGTTGAAAATAATGATTCATGGCTTGAGTACCACGACTCATGTGAGGATGTGGACCAGCTCTTACACCCTGATGGTTTCCCACTTCAGACCCACTAGTATAGGGAACATATTGATTCGAGAAATGTTCTCCAACCTCTTATAGTGCATGAGGTTGGGAAACAGAGGTACCCGACCCTTTACGAGCAGCTTCCATAGGTCGGTCAGAAGAAGAGGCCATAACTTAATTCCTTCAAAAGGGAAAATCACATTGCATTAGAGACATGTACTTGATGCTTATGCACTATACATGCGATAAAAATATTATAAACCATGTAAGTGAATAAATATTCTATGTAGACCATTTTTCGAAAGCAAACAAGTATACAAGTAATTCACAACAAAAGTCCTAGAACAACAAACCTAGGCTCTAATACCAGCACTTGTAGTGAAACTTTCGAAAGGATACTACCACTTAAATAAGAAATCTAATTAAATACTTGCAACATTTAAAAGAGATTAACTATGGCCATATTTATTATAATTTAGCAGAGGGATTATGTTCATAAAGAAAAAAAAAGAAATAGTTAAGAATGTGCATCCTGCCCATTTATAAATTTATTTGAAGTCAAAGTGATATTGCGCAGAATTTTAACTTATGGTGGAAAAACCCTTCCAAAATAATATAAGGCAATAACGCACGAAATTTTTATGCATATATTATCCTCACACTGCAAAAAATGATATAAAAAGAATATTACCAACTTTCAAGTACCCAAATTAGGTGGTGCATGCTTCACATAACCATTCAAAACAAGTGGTAAATTTAATATATTACAAGACTTGGGCTTACACACCCCAAAAGAACAAAACATATAGCCATACTTATATTACAACCCATGGTGACATGATCAAATTAGCCCTCAAAATTTCATGTAAATATACCACACATAGATCATGTATATGTCCCAAGGTTTATACAAAATATAGATGCCTATATGCAAACGTGATCTTTCTTAAGGCTCTCAAAATCTCCATCTCCAATGGCCAGCTTCATGCCTCCTCTCGATCATTCCCTACGATAGAAACAACTATTGCTAAGCATATAGCTTAGTGGTGTAAAACTATAGGTTCGGATCCCTCAGATTCACCAAGCTACCTTTCTCAAATAATAGGCAACACAATTGAAACATAACAACAAATCAAGTAAACAACAGATAAAGAGTATCAAGTTTGATATTTAAAGATCCAAATATCAAGAACGCTCATAGCACCATTTTCCAAGAAATTCAATAACAAGGCTCACCCAATATATACATCATATCGTCACACCAAGCACAAGCAGGTATCAAGAAGGGCCGAAGCCCTGTATCAAGAAGAGTCAAAGCCCAATAATCAAGAGAACCAAGAACCATATTAAAAATGGCTTTCTAGTTTGTACTTAAAATAGACAACTTTCATTCTTAAGACGGACTAAAAATCAAGAGTCAAGATGGCAAATGATCTGAATCAAGAAGTATGCCAATAGTGACAAAGTCACAGCCACAAGAAGGACAAGGTCCCAACAAGAGTACCAAGTGATCAAACATTCCGTACAAATGGGCGAGTTACACAAACGTCTTTAATATTTTAAAGGATACCAACACGACAATGCAAAGTGACAAGGGGTAACCAACATACCAAGATAAACATTCAAATATACCAGCAGGTAAAAAGAGTACAAGTACAAGTTTATACACAAACCTCAATGCTTAGCTTAGAAACAGTCCAACACAACTTCAAGAGTTCAAACCGTAGACCAACCAACGTATCAAGGTCCTCAACTTGTTCACGAGTATATAAAACCTTAAAATAAAATTAAATAACTTCTTTAATCCCTAGTAGATCAATAATGTTAATGTAAAATAGGATTATCATCACAAGTAAGCTTAGCCTATACAAATACAACTATGCTCCCAAAACAGTAATTCTGACCAGCCTAGTACCTCATGTCTCAACTTAGATTTGAAAAGGAAAACAGCAAAAATGGATTGTATATCCTTCATGAAAGATGAATGTACATCTATTAAGGTTGCAAACACTCAAGAATCACCGCAAAATATATTTTGCATAAAAATATATCATCGATACACGAACAGTTGTTCATACAGGATTTCTAAATCCGAAATCTTGACAGAACTTGTCCTATGTTGCGTTCGATATTTCGAATCTATAAAAGCTAAATTAGAGTTGTACATAAACATAACAGTTGTAGGTTTATGAATTATCTTTCCAAATCATATTTATTCACCGAAAAGGGAGTTCTAGAGAACAAGATATTCTAAAAGTAATAAACACTACTCAGCTCAAAATCAGATTTGCACCATATTTAGAAACGAAGATAAGAGTAATTTGCAGTCTTGCTGATCATGTCAATGTTACTTTGAAGAAAAACACCAAAGTAAGTTCAACAACAATATATACAATCATTTATTAGCAGTATGGGGGAAAAACACATACTATGTGTGGATTTAAGAAGCTAGATTTTATTTTATTTGATAATTGAGAAATCTCCATGGTTGATAGGACGAACAATGATCTTTCCTCCCCAGATAAATACCATGCATTTGTCTTGGCTATGGTCACTTTTTCATAATATCACAATAGATAGTTGATAGCATGATGAATAGATCAACACTTGAAATGCATTAAACAATGGTTTTCATCTTTCCCTCGGTGAAACACAACCGTGCCTAAAGATTTTAACAGTTAATATTCGAAATATAGAACATAATATTTATGAGCAATAACAGTACAAATCTACGACCAACATATTATACAATGTCCATTTGTGGTTGTGCCACCATTTCTGCTAATATTACACATAGAATTAAGTAGGGCTGATTGTCAGTGCATTAACCCGCTCAAAATATCTTCAAAGGATGCACGAGTGTCCTAAAATAATTTCTTAGAAACGAGATGCCTACATGGTGGTGGCCATTGATCAACTTGTCTGTTATGTTCTCCGTAGATGTGGATCACCTTTGGAATAGTCAACCTCCGGAAGAGGCACCTACAATCATATCCATAATTTAAGAGTTGTGCAAGTTAGTGTTATAAAGTAACTTAATTGCATCAATATTAATTTGAAGGGGCTGTAAATTATGTAGAAAAAATATAGTCAGTCCATATGAGGGAGCAAGTAATTTAGCTTAGAAAACACTTAAGTAATTGAGATCAAGGGAGTAAAATCGTGACCTGTCTAACGAGATTTTCAAACTACTTTTACTAAACTTCACAAGCCAAAGTAAAACCAAGTTTACAACACACACAAGATTAACCTCCTAATCTCTATTTAAGTAATACACTATCACTCAATGAGCCAAAACAATGCCTGCATTGCCCACTATACTAACTCAACTGATTAATATAGACTTTGACGTAAGACACTAAGTTGCCCATAACTAAGTTCTTACAATGATTCACCCAAGGTTGAAACCTTTTTATCACAAGCAAAACGATTCCGACAATATAAGCACAAATACAAACAATCAAGGTAACAACTAATTTAGGAAGCAATAATGTAAACTGTTAGGTCCCTTGCTGTTTTGAAGCTTGAATCTCTCTATTTGAATGAATGAATTGATTTTTTGTTTGTTGTCTTGATTATATATCAAACATCAAGAGTTAATACTCATTGGACAAATAACCTCGTCCCTTCTGGTTGGTATAGTACTCTGACGACCTCACCAACTTCTGACACGGACAGCTTTCCAGGTGTATAGCGTATGGTTTCGGATGAACATACTCTGTAGAGGACCAGGTCCTGCACTTATGAGGAAATCATCAAAACATTTGGGAGCATTAAGACTTATCAATTTCCCCCTTTTTGATGATGACAGACATTCTACACGCACAGCCTCACAAGAGTGTTAAGCAATCATTCATAGATACAATAATTCCCCCTGTCATTGTTCTTCCCCCTTAGTTTAATTCCGTTCTAATTTCACAACACAGTTCACCTTCAATTCCCCTTTTTGACATCATTGATAAGGAATAGAAGTAAACATATGTAAGTTGTATGTAAGACATTTAAGAACTCAGGGCCATGGGCCACACAGAGTGTGCACAAGTGAGTTTAAAAGAGAATAGAAAAACATATTGAACAGGGCACAATACCAAATATCATTAGATTACTAAAGCTGGCCACAGGAATCAGCCAAAACAGTACACATTGCCACTAGAGTTTTGACACAAGGATGAAGAAACCAGGGTAACAAGACTCATTTAGGACGGAGTGGGAAGGGCAGTAAGGGTTCATATTAGCAAGGACATCCGCTTGTTTGCAGCCTCATGAGCCTGAATGACTTTCTTGTTGAGAGCTTTGACTTCTTCACTGAGTGAGGCATTTGTCTTTAGCAATTGTTCGTTCTCAGGTCTCAACTTCTGCATTACTTGCTCATCCACACCGCTGGTACCCGATCCCTTCGAGACAGCTTTCTGCAACTTAGACTCAAGTTGCGCAATCTCAACCTCCTTGTCATTGAGGACCACTGTTAGATCAGTCAGTTCTCGTTTGAGAGAAGCCTGCTACTCTAAGAGATCTCCTACCTGAGACCTACCTTTGGTCTTCCCTTCAACACATTCACATTCTACCAGGGTAACATCAGTAAACATTTGCTTGGTGGTACCAGGTACTCCTCTCCCTAAAGGCACTTCGAAATGTTTGAACACATAGTTTAGCATGTAACCATAAGGGATGCCATGTTTGGCTGTTTTCCAAGTCATCACCATGTGCATATGTTCAAGCATTATAGCAGGGGGATTGATTTCCTCGAGTTCATTCAGCTTTTCCATGATAAATAGGTCAGCGCCATATGCTACAGTTCTCTTCTCCGTCCTTGGTACCAGTATCTTATTAACGAACTCGAAGAATAGTTGATATTCCCCCTTCAGAAACTTCTTTGGCAGACCTGCTCAATTTATGTCCCCCACCCCTTTTCTTTGTAGCATATGTAGTGAACTCACTGGAGGGTTTACATC